GCAAAAGAGTGTAACAAGTTTTACATTAGAATTTTCTATTATTATATTGGTTTTTGTTTTTATTTTTTCAAGGGCTATCAGGGATTGTGCTTGCCAAGCAGGCGTGGTGCCACTGAGCTACATCCCCAGCTTCACTCTATTGTTTTTAAAATAATGAAGCATTCCTGGGTTAAATTCTACTTAAACATTGTGTATTAATCTTTTTTTTAAATTTTTTTTTCTTTTTTTGGAACCGGGGATCAAACTCGGGAACTTGTGCCTGCAAGGCAGGCGCCGGAACCACGGAGCTAAATCCCCAGCCCTTTAATTTTAATTTTTATTTTTATCAGTACATGTTTGTAGTACATAATGATTACATTCATTGTGGGGAGTTGGCACATGTACATAACAAATCTTACATCCCTTTTTATATCCCATCTCCTTTTCTTGATCTTTTAACATATGATAACCCAGGTATGGTAGACCATACTTGTAATCTCAGCTGTTCAGGAAGCTGAGGCAGGAGGATCTCAAGTTTGAGGCCAGCCTGGGCAACTTAGCGAAACCCTGTCTCAAATTAAAATTAAAAGGCGAGGAGGGCTGGGGAGGTAGATCAGAGGTAAGGGGCTTACCTACAGGTACAAGTCCCTGGGTTCAAAAACGAAGGGGACAGAAAATGAGGAGAGAAAGGGAAGTAAAAAGAATTAAGATGTACAGTGTACATGTACCAATTTTCCATGATGAATGTAATCATTATATACAGCAAACATGTACTAATAAAATTTTTTAAAAAGGTAAAATATGTTTCAAAACTTAAGATAACATCAATATAATTGTATCTTTTTCTTTAGCTCTTACAAGAATATTACTCATTTTATTCTAAAAACTTTCTAAAATTAAAATTACTTTTGTTTTACAACAGCATGAACAAAATACCTCTGATTAAACTTATTTTTAAGTTTTGGTTCTTGGCATGGGTTAGCATAATAAAATAATGTGGCAGTGTTCTTTGCTTTCCCTTGTGCTGGAGCAGAATACACCACAAACAGAATCCATTTCTTAGAATTTTTCAAAAACTCAAACAAAATTTTCACTGTTTTGAATGGTTATTCTTTGAAAGTATTTTCAATTCCTTTTCTACTAACTATTCTGTTAAAATCTTCCAGTTCTACCATGTCTTTGGTGAGTTATTTAATTTCACCTAGATTTTTAAGTTGGTAGCATATAACAGCATTATATTCTTGTTTGTTTTGTTCTCCTAGAACTCTATCATTGTGTGCCTTTTTGTTTCTAATTTATGTGTTCTCTCCTCATTTTTCTGACCTAGATTTGTCAGGAGTTTGCCTATTACACTGATACAGTTCCAAGAACAACCTGAAAACATTTTACTGAGTTTCTGTTTTCTACTCTAGTGGATTTTTTTTAATCTGGTATAGTTGACTTCTCCTTTCTTTTTTTTTCCCCCTTTTCCATCTTCCAAGTTTTAAAAAAGCATATTTTCTTGAATTTATCGTTTGGTTCATCTGTCCTTAAATTTCTGGGTTTTGTTTTGTTTTTTTGAGGGGGGTTGGTACCAGGAATCAAACTCAGGGCCTTGCTCTTGCCAGGCAATGCTGCACCACAGAGCTATACCTCAGGCCCAAGTCCTCAAATTTCTAAATGCAATAATGTGGTACATAAAAGGTGATACAGTGTTTCACAAAATAATCCTCATTTCACAAAAAGAGATACAGTCAGACATGAGGCCTCCCGATGGACCAGGAGTACACACACTCCCTATCAAATATTCTTGTCACTGGACAGAAATTCAGAGTTCAGAAGAACATGTTAAAGAATGTCAAAAGGAAACACTTAGCAAAATCCAGGATGTGGGAAATCCCTCACAACAAATAAACAGGTAGTAATCTTGTAAGAAAAACAGGAAGACGAATTCATAGATTAAAACAGACTTAAAGGCTGGGGAGCTCAGTGCTAGACTGCCTGCCTAGCATGTGAGGCCCTAAGTCCAAACTCCAGTATCACCGAGAGGAAAGGCAGACAGAGAATGAATATGAGACAATCAAGGAAACTAAGACTAACTCAGTATTTGATAATATTAAGAAACAGTAATTATTAGGTGCTTGGTATAATAATGGCATCATGGTCATACCTTTGTAAATACTCATCTTTCAGAGATACATGCAGAAATACTCAAAATGGAATTACTTCTGGGATATGTTTAAATATAATTCTTAGGCAGGGGATTGGGAACATGACAGTTCATCAAATTATGCTTTCTACTTCTTTAAGTACTGAAACTTTATAAATAAAAGGATGTTTTTAAGTCTATGGTTATTATACAACTTACAATGAGTAAAATCCATATATTTAGTGGTTGATTTAACTGAAATTGGAGTAACTATAATGAAAAGATGGGAAGAAATAATTTGAGACTAAATTCTATCAGAGTAGAATAAGTATAGTCTAAATTTAATAAATCAAAACTAGTAATACAGAGCCAAGCATGGTGGTGCACACCTGTACTCCCAGCATTCAGAAGGCTGAGGCAGGAGGATCACCTTGAACTACACAATGAGACCATGTCTCAGAAAACCAAAAAAAAAAGGCAATATAGGCATATTACTTTGACTTATAAATTTATGTTTCAGAAGAAAGGTGAAAGAAAAAGTGGCTGCCTTTCGGGAGCAGACCTAGTTGTTAAGGAAATAGTGGGGCATAACATGGTAGCTTTCTTTCCTCACAAGCTTTTCGTACTGCATCTTTTTATGTACTTTTATTGTTTTCATTAAAGATTTTCAAGACTAAAAAATAAATGTACTGCTAGGAGTGGTGGCACACGCCTATAATCCCAGCACTCTGGAGGCTGAGGCAGGAGGATCCCCATGAGTTCAAGGCCAGCCTGAACTACAAAGCGAGACCCTGTCTCAAAAAACCAAAAAATAAAAATAAAATAAAATAAATG